CGGCGGTCAGAGCGGGGCCGAGCGCCGCGGTCCGGTCAGCCGCCGCGTGGCCGATACTCACGGGTGGGCAGGATTTTCAGAATCACCACCAGATCGGCCACGTTGTGCCCCGTCGTCATGGTGCCCTTCTTGTAGGAACCCACCTGGCGAACCTCCTCGATTTGCTGTTTGAAAAAAGCAAAGGAAAAAAAATTGGGGGCTTTAACGCTCGTGCTCCATTTCTGGGAAGGAATCTTTAATCCACTCCGGGGCAGGTTTGGGAGCTACAACACCAGATCCCTCCTGCCAAAGCATCTCCTCACGTAGTTTGAGGTGTTTTTTCCCCCCCAAGCTCAGCACGTTTGGACTCACCACTTCAAACGTTCCCGGTGCGACAATTAAATTGTCGATCACGTTGTTTATTTTGGTCACCAGCGACAGGATGGAAGCCTGAAAAGGAATCGGAGAGGGGGTGGTGTTACAGTCAGCTGTCCAGTGTGACTTGGAATAACCTGATCTTGCCCAGCGTAACGCGCACAGCCCCGCTGCAACGTATATAACACACAGATTTAAAAATCCCTCTCCAAGAAACTCCACCCAGTGCTCATTTCGGAGAGAAGTAATTACTTTTTAGGCTAATAATGGCTACTGCTGGCTGTGCTGTCTGAAGGATGGTCTGTCTTTGTGTTCTCTAGCACTGCACTAACATCCCGCCGAAGGATTTTAAGGCAATTTTGGGCACAGAACCTGTTCGGCAGCGGTCGGAGCAAGGTCCTGGTTTCTCTTCAGCAAGGCCTCGCTGAAGGCGGTCTCGTCGGCCGCAGGTTTCACGCGGGGGAAAGCCATTTCGCACTGAAACGGGAGCAGAGATCAGACTGCGACGCCCGAGAAAGGGACTTGGGTTCAACCCACTCATCAGCCAAATTTATTCCGTTATTTTTTTTCATTCTCCAGCGCTTGTTTCCTTTGCGACTCCCCCTCGTGCTTTTCACCTGCTGCTGTTATCATTTCACGTTATGCTGAGGGAGGGAGGGAGGGCAGGCGGGCGGGCAGCTGCCTGTCCTGCCCGTGCGCTCCGACGGGAACAGCAGGTCTCCAGAAACGGCAGGGGAGCCGCCAGCGCAACTACGGGGCGCGAGACAGGGCAGAGCTCATTAAGGATGAGGCTCTCCAGAGGGTTTTTATTAAGTCTATTACAGTCCTGTAGGAATAACGCCCTCTGTTTGCAGATGGCCGGAGTTGTTTTGTTGCTGGGATGGATTCACAGGGCCTGGAAGGCAAGAGTGAGTGAACTCATTTGCCTTGGAAGTCCCTGGTCTGTAAAGGACACATGCTCGGCAGGAGGAGGAAATTATTTTGTCTAAAAAGGGTGGGAAACGTGTGTGGCTGTTGGTCCTTGTGAGGACCAACGTGGCAAAGGAGCCTGGAGACCATCTGAGGACAAGTGACGGTTACCAGAGTAACCCGTGAGGTTTGTGTTGGAGAGAGCTGACAGAATGGAGGGTCTGGGCGAGCGGGGCACCTTAAAAAGGCAGAAAAACCTCAATCAAGGCATTTGTTTGTTGTCCTTATTACTCAACTGCCTCCCAGTCTTCCCGTGGGACCCAAGTATTCCAAACAACAGACAGTAAGAAGATCTATTTCAGGTTAGTTACTGAGCCAACAGCATTTTCAGTGAACTCCTTTACTCCAGCTATGCTAAAAGAAGTCAAACCACCAAAGTCAGCAAACGAGGATTTTAAGATGCATCTTTAAGCAAGGAAAAGTCCCGCAGCTGTTGCCTGCGAACAGCTCCGTAGGAGAGGGTTACTCACGACATAGAAATCAAAGGGGATGTGCGGCACAAAGGGCCGGAACCTAAAGGGGGGAAAGAAGAAAAAAAAAAAAAAAAAAAGACAAAACAAACCACTTTATTCTCTGCAGGGATGTCTACCCGCTCGCCGCTGTGTTCGTCATCACCGAACACCCCCTCCCCATCACCGTTTCGTGGAGGTTTGGTCCCGAGACGCGAGAAAGGCCCTACAGAAATAGGACAGGTTTCTTTATAAGCCCCCTCACGATAACTA